ATCTACTTAAGGGGGATTCTACCTAAAGGCCTTGAGAGGAACCCTCATGGCTCATGGCTTGGTATAGAACGGGATAACTATGGAATCGAGGGTGTAGGGTTTAAGGGTTTAGGGTTTAGGGTTTAAGGGTTTAGGGTTTAGGGTTTAAGGGGGTTTAGGGTTTAGGGTATGGTGTATACTTGCATGGAAATAGGATCAGGGGTCCTTTTCATGCAGGGATTCCTCCAAAGTACCCTTGCATTGCGCTGCCCTACATGACTCCTACACCCAAATCCCGAACCAACGTCATCATCCCACCTACCTTGTCTGCCCCCCTTGAAATATTTATGTAGGTCCTATCACAGGGATCAATTCCCCTATTCCCAGCTGAGCATCGGTCCCTCGACCTGCAAACCCTGAAACCCTGAACCCAAAGTCCTAAAACCTTACGTAACTCCCACCTTTTCCCTCTAGCCCCCCTCACAGGGTTGCAACAGGACACTTCTCTTGAGAAATCCTATAGGGCAAAGCCTAAAAGGCCTAAACCTTACTCGAGGGGTCCAAGTACTTCACATTCCTTTACTCACCCCAAACGTCTATTATAAGTATTAGTACCCACACCTCAGGTGCCAAATTTTTCAGTTCTTGTACCCTTGACAGGGTTATGGTTGATTCTGAAAGGTCGGCTACAACCGGGGGGTCTCTACCTGGACTACGCTCGCATCACGTCTGGGCCTCTGAAGCGTGGAGAGACAACCCATGTGACACATTGCGGGTCCGTTCCTTCTCAGATACTATACTGGGGAGAGGGGAAAGCATGATGGTCTTGCTGAGTTTCCAGATGAAGCCCTGAAGACCATGCAAGGCTGTGTAGGGGTTTCATGGGTAGTACCTGGCTCATCGGGATGATACGGTAAATGTGGGTAAGCAGCATAATTCAACACGAAACCGGGTGCATTTGGGGTTTTCGAGAATTCAGGGGTTAACGGAGGAAACTCGGCGAGAATGTCAAATTGTCGCAAACTTGCCGGCTATTGCCTGGCAAGTATAAGTTCCGGGTGCCCTTGGTTGGAAGTCTTTCTTACCTAGGGCGGTGATCTTTCGGCGTATACACCGCAGCCCCGTTCGTTGGAATCTGCCCACCTTTGCTGCAGTGAGCTTGGAAATATCTATAGGGTTTCCCCAGAATTGGGGGTACCATTTTGGGGGTCCCTATAATAAGGATGATAGTGTATTTGGGTCTATTTGTGGTCCCCCTATTTTTTGGAGACTACCATCTAGTTTCCCTGCCTAGAGCCCATGTCCGGTGCATGCATGCCACCTAGATTTGGACCTTGCGCTCTCCTCGGGGCACCCAGACATCACTTTTGGAATTGTGTACCTTAACAATGGTTTCAAATCTAGATTCTCTTGATTGCGGCCTTAGCCAGGTAAGCTGGGTAGGTCGGAGGTGCTGCGTAGGTTCCGAAATGAAATGAGGTACTACGACGGAGCGGCCCTCTTGATTCTGATGGTCCTGGTCGTGGTTGCTGGAGGTTGGCAAAACGAACAAAAATGTCGTACGGCCACCCCAAGTACTATTCATCAAAGATCTGAGATTTGGCCACCTTCCCAGGAATCATTGAATTCAGTGCCTTCTCCTGGGAATGCCCAAACATAGGGTGCAGCCACACATGACTAGATCCCACACCTGGCATGTTGTGGGATTAATTCGCTGTCAGGAAACGCTTTTCTGTCAATGCTTGGCATCTTATCTTGGGGGCATAGGGGCGTGGTGGATTAATGCCAGACAAGCTCGATCTTCATGACCTTTCCTTCTGTTCAACTTTAACAGCAGAAGCCTTTTTGGCAACCAGCTAGAAAGCATGGTGCCTAGAATCTAGAAGGTAAACCCTCATCCCATAAGAGCATGCAAGGATCCAGGCCGGGAGAGGTGACCTTTAAGCATTATTGTAAACTTATTATTATAATTGTTATTATTACTATTATTGCTATTGTTGGTATTATTAATATTATTATTACTAACATTATTAATATTGTTATTTTTTAATACTATTATTAATATTTTTATTACTATTACCTTTAAGCAAGCCACAGAATGAAAGCCTGTCCGGTGGAGTGTCTACACAGTCACGCAGCCTAGCTGGCAGTCACCGCGAATACGACTACTCAGATGGAGCGCCGTCAAAGTGACGGGGTTCGTTCTGGGCCCCCATGATAAGCCCGCAGCTATTATTTTGGGCACAAGGGGCT